GTGTATTGAAGGAAAAAATAGCAGCTCACCAATAAAAAAAGTGAGTAAAGATAAAATTCATTTAAGATCAGAAATAAAGAGATCCTACAGCTCTTCTAGTCCAATCCCACCCTAACGTGAATGGGGGGAAAGGGAAGTAGATTCTAGTCAGTCAGAATTAAAGGCAAAACCGATCCACTTTACTTTCTACTTGACAGAAAATAAGCAGCTCATCAAGGAATCCCTAAGAACAGTAGCTTTAGGAGTCCCCAAAATGCAAAATTCACCTTCAAATTAAATCTACTGGCCGGGCGCGGTGGCTCAAGCCTGTAATCCCAGCACTTTGGGAGGCCGAGACAGGCGGATCACGAGGTCAAGAGATCGAGACCATCCTGGCTAACATGGTGAAACCCCGTCTCTATTAAGAAATACAAAAAACTAGCCGGGCGAGGCGGCGGGCGCCTGTAGTCCCAGCTACTCGGGAGGCTGAGGCTGGAGAATGGCGTGAACCCGGGAGGCAGAGCTTGCAGTGAGCTGAGATCCGGCCACTGCACTCCAGCCTGGGTGACAGAGCGAGACTCCGTCTCAAAAAACAAAAAAACAAAAAAAAAAAAAAACAAACAAAAAAAACCAAATTAAATCAACTGCTAAGTGTGTATAAAGTTATTGTTTTCATTATTCCCTTCCTCATTCCCAGGGGCTTTATTTAGACCTTGTTTCCCCCTAATTGCCTCCAACACACCCAGGAAATTTAAACCCCACAAGTAAACTGTGTCTCGATTAACACACAGCGTCCTTTAGGAGCAGACAGTCCGTTGCTCTAAGACGTTCTTGTCACCTAAGCACTGAGTACAGCCTGAGAATGCACAACACACACACACACGAACTCGGACAGACAACAGGTGAGATGTGGCACATGAGGAGGAAGACGAGACAAATGAGCTTCACCGACTTCACCGACACCCCGGATCCATGAAGAAGTGACACATGCAGACTGCTCGGGTGCCAGTGACTCCTCAAAAACAGCCAAGGGCAGCATTTGGAGAAGCAGCACCACAGGCCAGGAGGGTCTGGGGTCTTCAGAGGGGAGGGGCGCCCCCGACCAGGTGTTGGGGGCTTCAGAAGGGGAGGGGGGCCCCAACCAGGTGCTGCGGACTTCAGAAGGGAGGGGTGCCCCGATCAGGTGCTGGGGCTTCAGAGTGGAGGGTGCCCCGACCAGGTGCTGGGGCTTCAGACGGTAAGGCAAATATATCCAATTCATCCTGTCACTAAAAACGAAATTATCTGCCATCTCCATCACAGATGATGCAGTGAGGTTTCCATCACCGGGGTGGTTTTTTTTTTTTTTTTTTTTGACAGGAGTTTCTGCTCTGTCACCCAAGGTGGAGTGCAGTGGTGCGATCTGGGCTCACTGCAACCTCTGCCTCCCGGGTACAAGTGATTATCCTGCCTCAGCCTCCCAAGTAGCTGGGATTACAGGTGCCTGTGTCACCATGCCCGGCTAATTTTCATATTTTCAGTACAGACGGGGTTTCACCATGTTGTCCAGGCTGGTTCGAACTCCTGACCTCAGGTGATCCACCTGCCTCATCCTCTCAAAGTGCTGGAATTACAGGCGTAAGCCACGACGGCCTGTGATTACTAGTGTAATTTCTCTCTCTCACACCCACTCCCCCCCTTTTTTTTTTTAAATCAGCTTTATGGCTATATTTTTTCCAAGAGAACCCATTACCCATTTGAAGTACAAATAAGACACCATGTTTAAAAACCAAAAATTCCAATTTACATAGAAATCTCCAAATACCCAGTCTATTTGAGCCTTGAGAATAAGATCAAGCTGTTGGCTGAATACAACTTCCCTTTCCATCTGTCTGCCTGTTAGACACAAGGACAAAGCCATGAGCTAGGGACATAAAGGCAGCAACCACCAAGGCAGCCGAGACTCCAAATAAAAGCTCGAAGGACAACACAAAGGTACCACACCCTGCACGCCCTCCTCTCCTTCCGTTTCAGAACTTCCAGAGGATGAAACAGGGACCTCCTCAGACATCCCACGGTGCAGGCGGCCAGAGGGGAAGGCGGCGGCAGCCTGAATGAGGCCACCGGGAAATCACATTCCACAAACAGAAATTCTCCATGTGCTTTACATCCTCTGTCTCTGAAGAACTATGCCAGTCTAACAGTCGCTAGAAAACCTTATTCAAGTGTCATTTCACATTTCAAGCAAAAAAAAAAAACTGTGGTAGGGCATGAGGGAAAAACATAGCCATGTGTTCTGGGTATTAAAAATAAGTTTTCTTCTGTTATAAACGTATAATTATACATTCTCAGATTTCTGTATAATTGATATGCTTCCTAATTAGCAGACATAGTAATAAAAAGTGAATTCCGAGTGTAAGATCGGAGGACCCATTCACATGGCTTCAGGTTCTGCTACTGTGTTTCAACTTAAGAAAATGGTTCTGTGTATTGGTAACAAGGCGTGAGTGTCTGTGTGGCTGTAATCAGGGTTCGTGTTGGCTCCCTAGCAGAGGATGTTACACTATTACATTATCTTCTACAGAAAATCCTGAAAAAATGAAGGCTGGATATACACACCCTCCCAAAATAATCCAAATGTTCATCGATATGACAAACAGATGAATTACGGTTTCCATCATGGAATATTCCTCAGCAGTGAAAACAAACTATAGCCACAGGTTCCAACTAGGATAAAGAAAACCTTTAAACACGCTTAAACTGACGAGCGGAATTCCTCGATTACAGGCATTGGCTCCGAAAGGGTACAGTTCTGAATCCTGTGATGTAGAATTAGTTAGCAACCCTGTTTAGGGACACATCTAGAAAAAAGCAAAATAATGACTACACAATTTTACATTCTTTGTAAATTATAACTACCATGAAAATTCTAAAATGTGAAAATCTTCCCAACTCTTCCTTTGACAAGCTTCAAAATAAATACCCTAGCATTGCTTGCCACACCCACAGGTGTGCCAAAATAATGAAAATATACCCAAGTTAATAGAATCAAAACCTTGAAGATGTATGAGTGGTCCCTGCCTCGCTATCTCTACATCGTGTAGAAATTTAAGAGCAGGTAGTGGCACTGCAATACAAGGCTCAAACCAACTGGGTATTTGGAAACTTCTGTGCAAAATGACCTTTTTGGTTTTTAAACATCGGTGTTATTTGTACTTCAAACAGGTAACTGTTTGGTTCCCTTGGAAAAAATACAGCCATAAACCTGGTTTAAAAAAAAAAAAAAGGGAGTGGGTATGAGAGACAGTAGCTTAGAAATTTTACCAGTGATGGCAGGGAGCAGTGGCTCATGCCTGTAATCCCAGCACTTTGAGAGGCAGGACCCACAGGGCCTTTGAAGGCACCGGTCTCCTCTGTGCCTTCCTGCCAGACTGACACCAGGACATTCACTGGGTTTCCATCCCTGTCTCATTCAACATCCCCCCCAAGGGTGCCTCATCCTCATCTGGGGCTCAACTCTGCCCTATTTCCTAAATCTCTGCCTTCAGAGCTTGAAAACACCCACGCCCAGGGTAACCCTAGGTCCACGTTTACCCCCAGAGAGTCCCGATTTTATCTGTTTTCCCCAGCATCACCTTAGTGATAATTTATCCTGTAAATTTGAAATGCCTTCACACCTCACCCCCACTGTCTCCCAGCAGACCCCCTCAGATGCACCTGCCCAGACCCCACACCCATGTCTTGCATGCTGCCCTGCTCTGCCCATGTGGGGACCACCTCTCTTTCTTGAGGAATCAGCTGGCGATCATCTCCCGTGTGGAGGACTCCCTGACTTCCAACCCTCTCCAGCAAAGGCAGAAGCCATCCTCGGTACTTCCTCAATACTCAGGCCAAATATAAGATGACGCAGATGCTAGCTGTGCCTGGGATGCCATGGGCAGGGTCCCCAGATGCTCTGCACATGGCCCGGGGCACAGCCTGAACACAGCAAGTGCTACAGAAATAAAATCGACGTGCGCTGACCTCTGATAGGCCTCCTTCACCATCCTACATCTGTCTCCCCTCTGGACAGTAAAATCCACAAGACAGGAGGGCTTGTCTCACTCATCTTCAAACTCCCAGGGTCACCCTGGCAGGTAAAGGGGACTCAAATGTCTTCTGAAGGAAGCGCTGGTTAGCTGCCAAGTTAAAGGGCCTCTGAAATCAGAGCTCTGCATAGGAGTCCAGCACACTTTATTATGAATGACTCCAACCACGGCAGAACTCGCCGTGGAACCAGTGCTAACCAATTCAGGGTTTGTTCACTGTTTCTCAGTTCATTAGCATAACTCACTCTAACAGAGCAGCCACGCACAGATCCTCAGACGTCTACACAGAGTGGGATGATGGCGCCAAGTCACGTGAACGTCCCTTTGCAGACTGGGAGACACCAGTCAGACCGGATCCAGGAGAGTGCAGACCTTGCATTAAATGGCTCCGTGTAAACAGCATTCCCTGCCAGGTCCTTTCCTATCTGCACAGCTTCTACAATTCAACTCTCCACCTGACACCTAAGAATACTGCAACCCCCCATGTGAACCCCCACTTACCTCCCAAAATGACCCGGCATGGCCGAGTACAAACCATTTCAACATAAGGGAACTGGAGGGCATGTGGGGCTTTCCTGAGTCCCTGCTGCCTCCTGACTGGAGGGTCCAATGCTTCAGACCCCTAGTGAAGGAGGGTCTCTTCAGGCCCCTCAGTGTCAAGAAAACGCATGTTCACTTTCTCAAGACCACACACACCGAGTCACAAGCAGGCGGAACTCGACTCTCTGGGTTCAGGTCACGTCGATTTACGAGCTGCTGTGAACACTGCAGGAAATGATGAGCCTGATTCCGGTTTGACCTCGAGCTGATCAGCATAACTTTTCACTTTCCAGGACTAACTTCAAAGGCCTGAAAGCCAGAGAAGGAGAGGAGATGGAACACGCCCTCACCCCAGACCTGCTGCAAGCACACACTTCTCAGATGGTCCCAAGGTGCACAGCATGTCCGTGCCTGTTCATGTCCACTGACCTGCAGGTCTTCTATGTGGCATCAGCCTCCTGGGCACTGGGACAAGAGGCATAATGGCAAGTCCCCTCTGCAGCAAAGGTGAGGCCAGGGACCCACCAATGGAACTGACCTTTTTCTGACAGTCTTAAAACAGAAGGAAAATACTGTACAGCCAACTCCCCTCATGCAGGTTTATTTACCTGTGACTCACAGGCCATGACAGACAACTTCAGGTTCTTACGATTCCTATTTTCCCCATCCAGGAAGCCTTTGTTTTTAATATCGTACGAACTTGCCATTTGTAGGCCAAAAAACAGCAAATATTGGCAGTTTCCTACGTTCAACTGAATAAAATATGATCACGACCTTTTGTGAAACCATGAAGAAAAGGTGGATATCTCAATATGTGTTTCCAGACTGGCTTTGTTCCTGAAGCACTAACTCTGTTCACTCAGGATTTAGACCCTGAAGAATAAACATCAATATCCCACCAAGAAAACCAAAGAATGAAATAATTTTGCATCCACCTTGGAGCCTTTTTAGGACAAGGCAGGACACAAACTTTAAAAAGCTGCAATTGTCCCTCTGTATACACAGGGACATGGATTCCAGAACACCCCCCGAGTTTACCCAAATCTACGTATCCACAGGACCCACGGCCACCCTATGGAACCACATGTAGGAAACGTCGGCCCTCCACAAAGCCAGGTTTTTTCAGTAAGGGTTTGGTTGGAAAAAAAATTAACATAAGTGATCCTTCGAAGCTCAAAACCCATGTTGTTCAGGGTCAGCTGCATTTACTACTTGTGTCATATCTGAGGCCTGAAAGCCATCATTCTCGATACCTTAATGTGACGGTTAACAAACTAACTGTTCTGATTAGAAAGAGGAAAAAGCTTATTTTTAAGCTGACAATGAGAGTGGACGCGGCTACGGTGAACGGAGAACAGACCTAAGCAAGCACCAAGGCTGGGGTGACTGCCTGTGCTCAGACCCACCAGGGCCTGTTCCTCCATCTCCCTCTGCTGAAAGGGATAACCTCCTTCTCCCCCACGACTAAAGGGCCTTTTTTAAATATTCACACGAGAAGTGCTATGAAAAGCTGAAAGGTCACAGATAACATTTTTAAAAATAAACATTAACGTAAGCATTTAACAAGCCCATTACGATTTAAAGGAAAAAAAAAACGGTATTAAGTTCCTGGGTGCAGGGGCTCATGGCCGTAATCCCAGCACTTTGGGTGGCCGAGGTGGGCGCATCACCTGAGGTCAAGAGTTTAAGACCAGCCTGGCCAACATGGTGAAACCCCTTCTCTAACGAAAATACGAAAATTAGCCAGGCATGGTGGCGGAAGCCTGTAGCCCCAGTTACTTGGGAGGCTGAGGGAGGAGAATCACTTGAACCCGGGAGGGAGAGTTTGCAATGAGCCAAGATCGTGCCATTGCACGTCAGCCTGGGCGTTGAGTGTGAAACTCCATCCCAAAAAGAAAAAAAAATATAAAGTTTTCCTTCCAATGAACCTATCATTCAGCCACCGAGGTATCCTATAGCTACTTATTCAGCCATGAGATACACCACAGGCGATATAGGCGAACAGGACACAGTTCTTCCCTGAAAGAAGGCTGCACCCTCAACAGAAGGGAGGCACATACTCCGAATGGAATCGGCATAGGGAACAGATGCTGCTGCAGGTGAAACTGGCTGCACAGAGCACCCACTCAAGTGTCTGAGAAACAAGGAGCCGTTGGTGCCATCACCTTCCATACTTGAGCTGGGGCAGTGGGGAGCCTGTCATCACCAAGGACAAAAAGCCCCAGAACCACACAACGAGCTTACAAACTCACCGAGGCGATGACTGAGCAATGTGTGTGGAGTGATGCGAACACACAGATGTCAGGGCCACGCGCGGCGTTGGTTTTGTGCATCAACCTGAGCGTGCCCGGGGTGCCCAGATGGCTGGTTCTGCATTATTTCTGTGTGAGATGCATGTTTGCCTCTGGACTGAGTGGAGACCCATCCTCGCCGGTGTGGGGGGGCACCACCCTATACCCCCAGGGCCCGAGTAAAACAGCAAGGCGGGGAAAACTGGGTTCACTCCACCTGTCTGGCTGATGGGCCAGTGACATCTGTCTTCTGCAGCCCGTGCTTCTGGGTCTCAGCTCCTCAGACCCCGGTGGGATCTGCACCCTCCGCTTCTCAAGTCTTCAAGCCACACCCTCCCAGGACTCTAGCTTGCAGCCTGTGGGTCCTGGGGCTTCTTGGACTCTGTAGCCCCTGCAGCAAGCCTCGCCCTGGAGACACACGCACACCCGGCTGGCTGTCTCTCTGGAAGCCCTGACTAAAAGCCGCCCCTAAAAGTGGTCTTCAGAATTTCTTTCTAGCCCTAAGATCCCAGCGCCCCTCCTACAATTCTAGGCGGAAAGGTGAACGGAGACCAATGGACAGAGGTGTGTGCGAGGACACGCCAGGCAGCAGCACTGGGCAGGAGGGCACTAACGCTCACTAAGCAAAGAATCAATGTTGCTTGCCACAAAAATGAGAGCAGTAAAGATTTCTTCAAACAGAAATGAGTTTGTTTCATGATTTGCTCTTAATACATAAGAAACATAAAAGTAGGCCTATTAACAATTACATAAGTCTTTAGAGGCCCTTGAACTACCTGTAGTGAATACTCTGCCCCGAGTCCTTCCCTTGCTATTGATGGAAATATGGGAGAAACCAGGAGGTCTGAGCGTGGACCTGGCCGTGCTCCCAGGGGCCGAGGAAAGCACCCATCTGTCCAGTCTTCCCTCCACCCCGCGGTTCCCTCTTACCCAGACTCTTGGGCTGACGCGGCTCATGCACTCAACAGCGCCATCATTAAACGTTTAGCTTCGCATCACGAGGGCCTCCTCTGGCCTCCTCTGACCACTCCTGAACCTCCAGTCAGCATTAGTCTGCAGGACACGCGTGGACAAAGTTGATGGATCACGGCCTCCAACGAGGAAGGTGCCAGGCAAGGAGTCGGAGAGCCGGGGATGGAGCAGCCCTCACCCAGGGAGGCGAAGGCCAACAGCGGCCACCACCGAGGACCTCCCTTCCCACCCTGAGGGCAGCTCACCCAGGGAAGCGAAGGCCGACACCGGCCACCACTGAGGGCCTCGAGGGCTCTCCCCACCCTGAAGGCGGCTGCGATCACATTTCCCATCGCACCAAGAGACCCCTGTATTGAGCACAAACCTTTCCAACCTTCGAATCAATAAGGAATCACAACACAGACATTCCCTCAATCCAAATGGCCAGCCCACAAAACAGACATGCAATCATACACATTTCCTGTGGGAAAATCAGTCAGTCCCTGGGGCCTCGCGCCAGGGGTGGGGGAGCATCATGGGGAGACGCCCCAGCCCCAGCCTGGTTCCTCCCTCTACAGCTCCTTTTCCCTCCTCTTCCCCCAACCCCTTCCCACCCCCTCCTAGCCTCAGAGGCTCCTTCCTCAAATTCTTTCCCCTTGATGAAGTCATTCATGCCCAAAATACAAGGCAAAGTCATGGGGGCTCAAGAGAAAATCCATACCGTGGCTCGCGTTTTAGATTCTCATAAGTTTGAGAATAACCAAGCAAGAATCTTTGGCATCTGAATGTGGTCTGAAGGATCTGAGCACAATGTCCTGCACTGGCCCGGAGTGGATCATGGGTGTCTCGGACATCTTCACAACTCTACACCAATTATTTTGAAACACACTAGCAGAATAGAACCATGTGAATAGCTGCTTCTCAGTTAAAAGTAGGAAAAGACTCCAAAAGCTGCCCTCAAGGAACATCCTTCCCATGAGGAGTTTCTGCATCGGGCCCTTCAGGCACAGGCAAGGCCCCCGGGCCCAACTCCCTCATCCCTGCGTCATAAAGCAGCAAAGTTGGTGGGGAATAAAGCAAGTGAAGGAGTCAGTCCCGCACAAAACGGGCTCCAGAAGCCACAGCCACTCTCCCAGTGTGGGAGCCAAGTTCAGAGACCTGGAAACACCAGCGTTCCCAGGGAGGAGGGCAGAACAATGCCATTTCCCCCTAGTTTAGGGAGACACCACCCCACGTCCTCTGGCCTTAATAGAAGAGAGACTTCACATAAATGATTTCAATGACTCCACCACACACAGAAAGTGGGCTGAGGGCTAACACACCCATATAAATGCCTGGCAAAAACACATTAAATGAACACACAGATAAGCAAGGTTCTCCTGTTATCCACCAAATATTCAGAAACAAATCCAGTAAGCAATCTCTTTGCAATCAAAAGACCAATTCAGAGGTGCAGATTAAAAATAAACATACAACTGAACCCTTAATACACCAAGAACCAAATTCCACGGAAGTGTTATCACATCACCACCTCCCAGCTGAAGGAAGCAGCACTGGCCACTGACCAGCTGTTCACTCGTGGATCAGTGAACGAAAGGCAGTGCTGTCCAGGACAACGATGAGATGTTAACCTGAAAAGGGCAAAATTGCAGAGGCTGGAGGGACCTTCCAGGTAACCCGGCCCCCTCAGTGGACAGAGGACCCCCGTGGGGCCACAGAGCCCAGAGCTCCAGTGTGTTCGGGGCAAGCACTCAACTGCAACCCTGATGATGTCCGAACGCCTTCTGCCCTTCTGTGTCTCTGCCCCACTAACAGGGAATCCGTGAATGCTAAGGAAATGTAACGCATTTTACAATACATGTAGATTTTCAGCAAATTAAAGATAAACAGTGACAAACTTTGAGAATTAACCAAAATATAGTTCAGTGAATGCCCAAACTCAAAGCTAGTCTCCAAGAGGTGATAAGCTGTGTGTGGTGGTTAACGCCTGTAAATCCCAGCAGTTGGGGAGGCTGAGGCAGGAGAATCACTTGAGCCTAGAACGTTGGGGTTGCAGTGAGCTGTCATTGTACTACTGCACCCAGCCTGAGAAACAGAGTGAGACTGTCAAAAACAAACAAACAAAAACAAATTAAAGGAGTTCAAATGAATTCGCCCATACCCTTTAAATTTTCATTTGGGTACATGGGGTGATCTAGTTCCTTTTTCCCTTGCAATACATGAATAATCTAATAATTAAATATAATCTAACAATTACATGGGAAAATTTAATTATTTTCCCATTTCATTATTCCCTATCTCAGGGAAAAAGTTAAAAGTATTCCCTATTTCAGGGAAAAAGCTAAAAATCATTTTAAACCTTCCTTCCACAAAACAGTATACTCAGTCATCTCTATCTGCTTGATCATGTGGAATTCAGCTTCACATGTCTACAATACGGTTTTTGTTAAACAGCGTTTATGTAGACAGGCAAGAGAAAGAAACACTTGGTCTATGTAGAAGCAGCAGAAGACACGTTTTAACAGAAAAGGGAGAAGATACCACCGTGTGAATCTGGAAATTCTGTCTCATCTTGTCCACACACACAGAAAACACCCAAGCACGTGCCTAGTGTCCAACAGGAGCACAGAAAGGACAGGATCCCTCCAGTTGTTTAATGACCAGCCCCACTTGTCACCGCCACATAACAAAATCCGCACGGCAACTTCAGCACGTTTCATTCACGATTCCACGGAAATCAGGCTGAAGAACATAAGATGTTTTGCCCACATTTAAAATCCAAGTGTGGGACTCATAGAAATAAACACATTATGGGTTCACTTAACTTTTCCAAATTTTTACTTGGAGAAACCTATAAAGTTCTTGTCAGTTACATCCTTAAGTTTTTCAATAATTTTAAATGCAAAGGTCGGCAAGACTTGTAAAGAGGTACACACATACGGCCGGCGTGGTGCTCACACCTGTAATCCCAGCACTTTGGGAGGCCGAGGTGGGCGATCACGAGGTCAGGAGATCGAGACCATCCTGGCTAACACGGTGAAACCCTTCTTTACTAAAAATACAAAAATTAGCCAGGCGTGGTGGCGGGCGCCTGTAGTCCCAGCTACTCGGGAGGCTGGGGCAGGAGAATGGTGTGAACCCGGGAGGCGGAGCTTGCAGTGAGCTGAGATCACACCACCGCACTCCAGCCTGGGGACAGAGGGAGACCGTCTCAAAAAAAAAAAAAAAAAAGAGGTACACACATACATCCACGTTCTTCCTCAAAGAAAGGGCCCTTTTTTAGGATTCCAGATGGAAATGTGGTTGTCTCCCTGCTTTTGAGAGGATGGGCTGTTTGAAGCATGAACAGACTTTTCCTCCATGCACCCAGGATGCACCATGGGGGACAGTGCTGCCGCCGCCTCCCCAGTCTCTGCTCAGGGTGGGGCAAGGGGAGCTCATCTGTCTCCCGTGTACACCGTCAACAGGCCAGGCGCTCAGGAGGGGGCTTCCAGGACTCGCTGAAGGCATTGGTTAGCAGGGCAGGCAGTGCCTCGTGCTGGTGGGCATCCAGCAGTGAGGGGGTCTTGCACTTACTCCCGGGCCCAGCCCCAGAGGGGAAAGAGGCACCTGTATCATAACTCATGTGTATTTATAGACACACAGAGACTCTGCAGTGCAAGGCGCAGAACTAGAAGGAATCATGGAAATAAGAGGGAAGACATTTGGTTACGACTGGCACAGCCACCTCAAGCCTCAGCACTTCCTGCCAGAGCCGTCACTGACCAGACTCCTCCGGGGTCACTGCCACTGCCTTGCCCAGCTCACGACAGGGCAGATGGTGACAGAGCCTCAGAACAACCTCCCACTCCTTCCTCACCAGCCCAGGGGATGAGCTGCTCATGAGTGTCCCAAAGCCTGAATGCGGGAATACAGAGGTGACTGAGCAGAAAGGGGGACAGCCACAATGGCCACGGGTGTGCGGATATTGCTGGGCACCCCAGCAGCGCTTTCCACCTTAAAGAGGACGGCCACGGGTGTGCGGATGCTCCCGCGTGACCCAGCAGTCCTTTCCACCTTAAAGGGGAATGGCCACGGGTGTGCGGATATTCCTGGGTGCCCCAGAGCCCTTTTCACCTTAAGGAGATTTTCACAGTCTCATTTCAGTCTCCCAACTATTCAGTGAGGTTGGAGGAGTACCACTGTGGACCAACACTGATTGGCACCAAGTAAGGGCAATTTTATAACCAAGTCTCGATCGTAAGAGAATCAGGTCTTTGGCCATCTGGTCAAAGCTCTTTCTGTAACAAAGTTGGATAATTAAGTTGCACTTTGGTTTTCCAAATCTTGCTACAGAAACCACATCTTCCTAGGTGTGGCTCCGTGGTGTCACGTGCACACATCAGTAGCCAGGCTTGCCAAGACTCATGGCACGTTACACGTTCACCTGAGAAGGCTGCTCAATCGTTGAGGGCTCTGGCATGCTCTGAAATGAATTTGCCACTTCAGCCTACACTCTACTTCCTTGTTTGGTTAAAGAAAACCAAAAGGCAGAATTTGTTTTGGCCAATCGCCTGCTGCACCTAACTGCAGAGGTTTTAATTATAGTACTTTCATTGCATCCTAGAAAGCAAAGTCATATAGATCAACTCATTATTACCACTCCAAAGGTTTAGTAAATCTCCAGATAATCAGGCCAACATTTTAACAAGCTACATTAAGGTTTATAATACTCAAAATTTAAAACTACATCCATGCTTCAAAAACCACCATTCCCATTTTAGATGGACAAATGCATATGAGAAAGAAAGAAACGTGCTGAGTGCATTTTTTTGCTAATCTTATGGAGAAACTGCCACTTTTAAAATGGCTCTAGTTCCTGGCTCCAGATGGGTGTGGTGGGTTGCCTTACTCATTTTCAACTCCACCTGAAGCTGGGAAACTAGAAATTCATTCCCAGACTCCAGGGCACGAGAATTCCCACTTCTGGAAACAGCCTGGAATGCAAACTTGTAGCAGAGAATTCTTTCCTGCCCACCCTAACTGTCCTCTGTGGAAGGCAACAAAGACAAGTCCACCTACCTAGGTGCAACTGCACCACGAAGAACCATTTCAAGGTGGGAGGTGCCCACTGCTCCAACGGCAGGCCTGCCGGCATCTCAGAGCAGCCAGAACTGCTCCCTCCTTCACAGGGAAGGGGAAACAAGGCCAGGAGGAACGGTTGGGGAAGCAAGCGATGGGGTGGCTGTATGTACCGGTGCCTGTAGTTCACAGCTGAGCCTGGTGTCATGAGCACGAGCGTGCTGACATGCACACCGGGCCCAAGTTTAAGATCAAATATAAGGAGCTTTCCAACTATAGTATTTAACTAGATCTTTCTACAAAAATAGCCTCTTGATTACAGTTTTTATCCAAAAAGTTCTGTGTAATTAAAGAAATTAATTTTCCCCTAAAAGACATTTCTCTATCTATTGCCCCATATAAATGAAATGGGTATATTAAAGAAGAAAGACAAATGTTTGACTTAGGGGGTTTGCCTATGACTTGGATAAGCATGATATTCTTCTGACCAACCAGGGAGCAGCTGGACCAGACTGGAGGGAAGGAAAAACAAATTTCCCCTCTGACCTCAGTTGGGCACCAGAGTCTTCCCTGTCAGAATGTGGGTGTGGTGCTTCCCACACACCAGCCTCTGACGAAACTCAGCCCAAGGGTGTGGGAAAAGGCCATCTACTTCTGAAAAATCTATAAAGTGCAGACACATCAAAAGCTTCAGAAGACTGTAAAGCGCCAAGGAGACCACTGCACCCTTGGA